CCCCCCCCCCCTGCTACGCAATCCCTTCCTCCTTCTGAAAAACCCTCCCGACTCCCTGCCGTGCCTTTGGTGCACTTTGACTCTTGAACAGGGCATCCCGACCGTCGTGACGCAAGCCTACCTGGTGGCCACCAGCATCATTATGGCTTGGCAGCTCAGGTGACATGTTTTCGATCAGAAGCCTTTTGCGAGGATATTGATTATTATGCTTACGGATCGGGATTGGGATACGAACCCCGCTCTCGATTTCATGGTAGATGAACATAATGCTAACATCTTCGCCAAGGCGGTCCCACAAGACACGGCTCTAATTCATTTTTGGCCTTCAATGCGCTGGGGACATTTATATCTCGTGTGTTTTTGTTTTGAGCCATTTTGGTCGACCATTAGTCCGTCTTCCCTTGTTATGTTTGTCGAATGTCTTGTCCTCGGCTGTTTTTTTCTCGTGGTACCGACAATGACAACGCGGCGTGTACCCTGCGGCTGAACGACATACACCAACGACAACGCTGCGGCTTGCCTTAAAACCTCTCTTTGACCCGACTCTGACAACGTGGCGTTTTTCCTGCGGCTGGACAACGAAACACACCGACACCGGCAACACACCTACCAACACCCAAAGCCGGTTCGAGGAGTGGACAGGCTGGTGCCTCTTAGTTGTCCTGGCTCTCTACGACTTGTGTGCCGTGCTCACTCCCTGCGGTCCCCTCAAGGCCCTAGTGAACCTCATGCAGGTGCGTGGCGTTTTCAGCTGCTGTTCGGCTTCATTATAGCCACGCGCGGCGCCTGGTTGGTGTGTTAGGTAGGCCTTGAATGGGCGTAGGAACTGCAGTCATGCATGGATGTGTGTTTTTTTCTCCCTGTGGTGTCATGATCAATCCGATTCGACTCTCGTCGCCTTATGGTAACACTTGTTCTGCTGTGTATGTGCAGTTTGAGTTTTGTCTGGTGTGTTTTGGGCGGCGCTGGTTGTACCCGGTGTCCTTGGCGTTGCCCTCAGTCACAGCCGCCGCCTGTCTATCCGTCCGTCTGTCTCTCTGTCTCTCTGTCTCTCTGCCTGCCTGCCTGCCTGCCTGCCTGCCCCTCTCCTCCTCGAAACCGACCTCCTTCCGTCTCGGACTCGAACCCACGACAGGAGTACGAGGAGCCGATGCCGGGCCTGCTCTACGAGGCAGAGCTCCCCGCGGGGCCCCCACGCCGACGTCGCCCTGAAAATGATCGACGGCCCCCCTCCCAACAGCAAGCACGACGGGAGCAGCCAGGGGCCGCCGGAGGTCCGCAAGAGGGTGACCCCTACTCTTCGCCGAGAACTCCCGTCGGCACCGCTACGGTTGGCGGAGGGTTGGCGGATTTGGCCGGGGGAGGCGATGAGGAAGGGGGAAGAGGCGCCGACGATGCGACGCCGGCGGCGTCAGTGTCGGCCAAAGCGGCAGGGATTGTCGTGCCGCAATCGTCGTCGCCCGGAGGCGACCACAGTTCTGCGAGGAGACCCGGCGCGGGCGGCGCCGGCGCAAGCGAGTCGGTAGCGGCGCCGTTGCTGGAGCTGGTCGAATCAGGCACGGCGGCGGTGGCGGTAGGAGACGCTTCGGCCGATGGAAGTGGAACCACAAGCGATCGCGGACAGGTTCGTAGCCCGCGGGCGAGAGGAGCCGCTGCCCCCGCTGCTGCTTCTGGCGACTTGGACAGCTGTGCTGCTGTCAGCCCCCCACCCCGCAGGGGAAACGCTGCCTCGCAACGGTTCGGAGGGGCATCCGCGGAGGGGGATGCCTTGATCCAGAGCCCCCGGGGGGGTGGACGGTCCAGGCGGCGAAGAAGGTATTGGTCGAGGGTATGCACGAGGGGAAAATCGATTGGTCCGTTGTCTCCGGGGGTTTGTGGCGGGCGTTCCTAGTATGTATGTACACAGAAAGAGGTGCTCGAGGTGTTGCTTGATGATTCGATCGGGTTTGGTATTTGGTGCCGATAGTCCCCATTACAAGCACCTGCTTTGTTTTTGTGAATCAATTATGCAACTCTTGAGTCAACGGCCTTGGTGTTTGGTTGCGTCGGAAACGTTTTGCCCTGCGGGCGGACCGATCGATGGTAGGTGGGGAGCAGGGATGGTGTCGCCATTTCTTTGGTCGTGTCGTTCGTCCTTGGGAAGCTGCCAGCGACGCTCCTGGCCTTGTTGAGTCGTTTTTTCTTTCTTTCCTGTTCGGAACGAAGGCGAAAGTAAAAAAATAGAACAAGTAATTGCCTTGAACAATATAAAGAGGGCCGGAACGGGGGGTAGGGGGTGCCGACAACGGGGAGACGTTGCAGCATGCATCACCGGTGTAGTGTCGTGCTCCTCGAAACACCATGATAGCCGTCAGATTGCGCAGCTAACCTCCCGCTCAGATCTTCGTCGAGCGGTTGCTGATTGCCCTTAACAAGCGTCACGCGTACTGCCCCCAGCTCGTTCCGTTCAACCCCTGAGTCGCTTGAGCACGCAGCGCAGTGAAAATGGGAGTTTTTTTTCCGCCCCATGGGCTCAGCATGAACTTTCCCGCATTCTTCGGTGAACGTTGCCTTATTTGGCATCAGCACTTGTTCCTTCTGGTAGTGGCACAACACCGGCCCAAGTGTGACCATGTCCGATTTTTTAGCTTTAGCTTTCTTTCTTGTCCCGACTTCCAACAGGGTGGCGGCCGCGGCGGAGAACGACGAAGAAGAGGAAGAGATGGGCGTGTCGATCAAGCTTGTGAGTTTTGACTTGTTGCCGCTGCTGTGGTGAGGGTGTGTGCGCTACGTTAGCATGGAACGTGCTGACGGGCTGGCCGATCAAAGACGGTGTCAGATCTGAACGGGGGCATATCGAACAGTCTAGGGTTATGTTTGAGTGTGGTTTATATCGTGCTGTGTCCCCGAGAGTGTGTTCCGTTTCAAGGTTTAAATTTTGTGCCGTTTCATCCCCGGTGAGGGTTCGTGTTTTGATTTATGGTGTGTTCCTCCTGGCGGTTCTTCCGCCGACTGCACCAAGCACATTTTTGCTTTGCTCGTCGCGGAGTCCCATTTACCTTGAGTGTTTCGTGCAAGACGCGTCCATTTTTGGTTGTTTACGGTAGGCGATGCTGATCTCACAAAGGGAGAATGAATTGAGGTCGAGCACCGTTCAAGTTCTCAATGCCATCAGAGCAGCTCCCTTTGTGCTTCTTGCTCCCTACTGATGGAGGCGCAGGGTGCGGTGTTTTTTAGCTAGAAGATATTGGTACAACCACAGAACGACCAATCACGTGCGGTGTCATATTATTAAAAAGATCCATACAATCACAGAAACACGACCCGTTGGAGGTAAGCTCCCAATCGAAGACGTTTGTCCATTAGTTAGATCGAAGGGATGTGTTCAATGAAGTCTTCGTCCTTGTAGCAAAGAGTGTGGAGATCAACCAACGTTATGCCGACACCGCCTGCCCGGCCAGGGACTCGGAGACTTCGTGTTTTACAGCGTGCTGGTGTCCAAGGCGGCGCTGTACGGTTTCACGGCGTGGGCAGCCTGCGTGGTGGTGATCGTCTTCGGTCTGGGGGCGACCCTCGTGCTGCTGGCGGTGTACAGGATGGCCTTGCCCGTGAGTTGCCGTTGCCGTCGTTGTGGTATACAAATTGGTGGCATTGTGTTGTAGAGCACCAACTGTTGCTGTGATGGTGCTGCTGCCATGTTGGTGCCCGTGCTGTGTTGGTGCTGCTGTTCCTGCTGCTGCTACTGGGTCCGTGTTGGCGCTGCTGACGTGCTGGTGCTGCTACGTTTGTTCCGGTTGATTTAGCTCGCCATGTCCGCGGAGAGGAGAGACCCGCCCTCAACAGTGGACACTTTCTATCGTCGTCCGTTTATATGCTCCTCGTTTGTAGTCTGCTAGCGCGACGTTGGTGCTTGATTTTCACAGCTTTGCTCGAGTTTGTTCATTTTATTTTTTGATTTTGCGGTGAACAAACTTGAGCAAGCTCTAAAAGGGCACCACCACACTCACGTCAGCAAGCCGCCAAGGAGAAATAGGATTGTTCAAGGGATGATGAAAGAAATTGTCCGCCGTTTGAACTTATTATTACAGAAACAAAGGCGCGACTCGCCCGAGTGGTGAATTTGGTCCCGCCGTACAGCAGTGGGCCCTGCATATCGTCAGCGTTGCGCGAGCACGCCTTGTTGTGTCATGTTTGGTAGGGCACCGCGACCTAGCTTTTCCATGCTAGCACCTAGCCAAGACTGGCAGGTGGACGTGTTGTGTGGCGTGGTGGCTATTCAACAGGAAATGCACAACTGTTAATAATAGGTGCAGGCTGTTGATATGAATCATGACGATCCAATCATGGTATGTATTGCTTCCCTTGTTGCCGTGTTGTCGTGTCTCCCTCCCCCTTGCAGGCTCTACCCATTTCGATTGGCTTCGGGACGGTCTTCTACCTTCTGACGAGGTTCTCGATACAGCCCTACGTGGAAGCCCTCAACGACACGCCGCTCTACTTTTGAGAAAATAGTCTGGATCTTCCACCCCCGGTTCACCTTTGGCAAGGTGGTAGGATTGACCATCGGTGATGGGTAGGAACTGTGGGAAGAATTTCCATCCTTTCGAGGACGCGTGGTCAATTGTCTAACCACCGCTGGGGCATGAACAACATGAGTACCCCGCTCCCCCCGGTACATGGCGGCGGTGTTGAGCGTGTTTCCTGGTGTGTGTTGGTTAAGTTTTTAGCGTTTCGCCGCAAACAACGTTTCTCTGCTGGGGAATTCACGGGGAATAACTTCCTACCGTAGCATGCGCCTTTTTTTATATCAGCGGGTGATCCATGTTGTTTGAGGGAAGGCATCGGGAGAGGGAGGGAGGAGTGGGCGAGGTGAGGGGATGTGTGTCACCGGTTCTTCAAAACCGCAGGCGTTCATGCGGCGCTCTGGTGACTGGGAACGCCAGCCCAGAGGTAATGATCCCAATAACGCTCGCATGGTCCTAAGCAATGGTTGCGCCATCACCGGCGGGGTTAGAGCCCCGCTTCAACTCCTTTCCTTTTCGAGGCGCACTTGCCGCAGGTATGCATACATGGGAGCAGAATCGATCGACTTTGGAAGCATAAGAAAGCACGTACCATGGGATGGCCAGTGACCAGTGTAATCGCGTTGTACTACTTGTAGGATGTCCTGGTTTCAACACAGGGGGGGTGGGCTCCAAATGCTCCCAAGCGTCCAGTTGGGCGTCGAAATTGGCGAGCAAGACGCCGTCGTTCTGACCGTGGCCTGTGCTACCGTCGCAACAGGTGAAAGCTTAGCGGCATTTGCAGGGTAAACCTGCCTCACTTTTCCGTGTGCACGCGAAAGACTATTAGGTATCTTCCCCCACGCTTGTGTACTGGCTAGACTATAGGTTTAAGGATGCGAAAAGGAATGGTACGGAGGTGGCCAGGGTGGTCCCTCACACCCATCAATCACCACCTTCGACCGCCAACACAAGTATCGCCGGCCCGTGAGTTAAGAAACCCCGGGAGGACTCAGCGCAACCCACGGCACCCTCGCGCCCACGTTTCAAGTCAAGTCGCCTGTTCCAGAGGGCGACATTCCTCTCTCTCGTTTTTTGTGTCCTTGAGCGCAGAATGTACAAACAGAACGTCGCCTTGAGAGACAAGCGAAAACCCCACGCACGCGTACTTCCGCGGGGCCATGGGGTGCATAGCAACAGGCATTTAGACGCATAGTTAGGTGGGTGTTGGACAAGAAACAACGACCTGCTGTTGGTTTAGTCGCGTACCCTGCCCGGCACCTACAGTTTCTGAACTTGAGAAAGCCTGGATTCAACATTCCGAAACAGCGAGTTTTGGTTGTGTTTCAGCAATCGATTGCAGCGTCAGCTCCGGTGTACATACCAAGGACGCATAACTGCATCATGGACGAAAAGACGATTTGTATCGCGATTTGCACTGCCTTTAACCTATCCCTTGAAATGAGACTTCATGAACCGTGACAAGCTTTTGCTGCTGCCACTGCGGTGTTGAGCAAACACTGCACTAGCCTATCCCCTATGCCGCAGTCCCAGGCAGCTTGGTACCATCAGACCCATCATCACTCGTGTTATTCTGGCACCAAATACAGCACGGAATGCCGGTGTACACGACTCTATCTCAACACTTGGAGCATAAGAATGCACGCAAAATATCGAGAGCGACATTCGTCGGGACATGCGTCTCTAGACCTCCACGGGGGAACAGTTCTTTCCGACTAATTGCATAGAGGGCTGGAGCCTTCCTCCGCAAGCTCTACACGCCAACATCCCCGCCTCCTCGACACAGAAAGCATACGAGACGGATATACATACATGCGCGCATCGGCGCCATTTCTGTCCTCTCGCACGCAGCCAGTACCCCCCTCGCTGGGTAGCCGTCCATCTATGTACACCCCCATGAACCTAGTTATGCTATGCACCTGTTTAAGACGACCTCTATGTATAAGTCCCGCCGCAAATCAAGCGGGGCGGAGGTGGTAGGGAAGACCGCCCGCACTAAGCGAAGAAAAGAGGGAACCCACCACCGGCGACCCGGCACATGAAAGCACAACATGACGCGTAACAATCCGCGTCTCACAGCGCGCCAAGCCAAACTTTACGAAACGGCAGTGCATAAACGCTTAGCGCTGCCGTTTTCGAGACTTCTTGCACGTGGCAAATAGTCCTTTACTCCCCAGTCCAGTACGTGATCTTGGGAACAACAATGTTACGTCTTCTATTTCAAACCTGTTCAACACGAAGTGCACTTCTATGTTTCCCCGCCGCACAGCCTCTTACCTAAACGGTGGAGCGGCATGGTCCAACCCGTTGCCAATGTGATACTGTTGCTGTTTCTTATGTCTCCGAAACCTCTCCGAAACAATGCGGCTAGTTCTTCAGCCCTCTCGCTAGAGCCCACGATTTTCTGGCTCTTCACACGATTCCCGGAAAAAACAGCAATTATCCTTCCAGGCGTACCACTGCTGTAGCAGCCACTAGCCGGAGAGACCGGCGGTAAACAACAACAGCAACAACCATGGCATTCTCGCACGTTCGGTCAGTCGCTGAAGGCCGCACGCGCGGGCGCTTGCGGCCACACTACTGCAGCCACACGATAGCAACCGTGGTATTGTCTGTGGACCCCCTTCTCAGCGCCTCCTCTGTCAGGTAGCCCGCCATCTTCTTCTTTCGGAGCATCGTAGCCGCCCTATCATCATCATCATCGGCGACGGTACGCGGATCAAAATCATGCAGCCGTTTTCTTCCCCCACTCACTCACTGAAAAGATTCCACCACATCCCGTTCGAATGTGGGTATATCTCGAACGGGTAGTGTTTCTGCGTATTTAATTTTCTTAACATGTAACACGTTCAATTCGACTGCCGTGGCATTTGTCTCGAACGGGCAGTCGTTCCGTGATTGCATGCAAATTGTCGGAACAAGAAGTATCGATTGGGGGGGTACACAGCCAGGAACAAGGCAAGGGTCATCATTCCTATAATCGGCACACACCATGACACACTTTAAAAAAGCTAGCCAGGTACGGGCGACGAAGCTTTATCGACCACCATTCCACCATATGCCTACATTGAATTCAAGCAAGTCAACGCTTGACAAACGTGTGCAACAGACGCTGAATGTACAGTACAACACGTGCATATATATACCTGACACCATCCCACCTGATCATTCCTCGGTCCTCGGCGTAGCTTTGCGTCCAGTTTACAAGAGTCATGTGAGCTGGCCGGCCAAAGTCCCCGCATTAACCAGAAAAACAAAAACAGGGAGGGTGGGGTGGGGGGTAATCAAGAGGAGACAAACGATAAGGTTCAAGTCTGATGTCATGTCGACATGGAAATAATGCGCAAGGAGCCTGGTTGATTCGGGGGCGGATTCGCCAATAAAGCCGAAGCGATTCAGCGGAGGATAGTAGCGGGGGAAAAAAACGGTGTTACAAAAAGAAATAAACAACCAACAACAACGGTTTCAAAGGGCTGAAAACCTGCAGTAAGCTCAGCTGTGTCCTTGGAACGAACGAGCAGAGAGCAGGTGCCAGCTTAAAAAAATGCCAGAAACAAATAACAGCGGCATCGCCTAAACGTCCGAATCCGGAGCTCCCTTCATTCACACATTCCCTGTGCACACGTAAGCGTACCATCCCATATCCCACATCCCCCGAAATAAAACGCCGGAAAGCAGCACCGGCACAGATGAGTAGCTTCTACCCGCAAGCCCTTCCCCTCAATGACTCACGGGGCTTGTCCGCTTCCGCGCCCGAACCCCCGGCCTTGTCGCCGCCGCCGCCGCTCCACTTGTCCCCCTCCTTCCCCGACCCCATGGCGCCCCCCATGACGGCGTGGACGTACTGAACGGCCTCCTCGGAGGACATGACGTCCCACAACCCGTCGCTCGCCAGGATGACGAACTGGTCCGTCTCGCGCTTCAAGTCGATTGTCTTGATCTCCACCTCGGCTGCGCGCGCGGGGGTTCACAGAAAGAGGAGCATTTTTTCCGGAGGGTTGGGGGGGGGGGG